CTCCTCCTGCAGCGCCTCGTCCAACACGCGCCGGCCGCGCCGCACTTGCTCCGCCTCCAGGCGCAGCTTCTCCACCTGGCGGCGTAGGCGCGGCACCTGGAACGCCTCCACCTGCAACGAACACCCCCCAGTTTGACAGCTGACGTTGACAGTGGGGGCGCCACTTACGGTGAAGACCAAGTGCTGCACCAGAACGGCCAGCGCCTCGGCCACCCGCGGGGGCGGCGCGGGCTTTTTGGGGGCTGCGCCCCCCTTGGCACCTGCGTCTGCAACAATCACAATAGTAGTTTTCGATACAAGGGCGAAAAATGTCGTTTTTCCAACGACGACGGCGTTTGACGTCACCTGACGTCAATCCGTCAAGAGTTCGAAAAACAAATTTTCGCCCTCGTATCGAACACTATTTTTTATTCGAATGAAAGATTACGCGAATAATAAAATGCATCGATTTCATATTTAAAATTTTGTGGCAATGTCATTTTTTGAAGTTTGTAATTAAGTTTAAGTACTTTTTCAACTTGAAACACCTGTGGTCTTGGGATGGTGTATGCATGTTGCATACTCTGCATGACATTTGCGCTTCTTAAAAAGATCGTGCTTTACGTGTGACAACGTCGCAAAAGTAGATAAATAGGCCATTAAAACGATTATGAGACTGAACTTGTAACAAAGGTGTAATTTGCAAATTGTAAGTAAACTTGAAAATAGGATCAATAGTTGTTGATAAACCTACGTAATTCCTTAAAAAATCATTTCGGTTATTTTTAAATAAAAATACTAAAAAATATATAATGACAGTGGCAAGTTCAAAGTGTCACATTTAAGTCCATGCGTAAAAGTAAAACAAATGAACGCTAAAGAAAAGTGCTTCTTTTTGATCATCGCTTCTGTTCGCAAAATGGCACTTTTTTGACTCATTCGAATAAAACCATATGAGCGGATGATGCGCGCTTCGCCCTATTTTTAGCGCAACGGCCCCGGCCAACTAGGACCAAGGTCAGAGCCGATCGGCTCCAACTGTTCAGCGCAAAGTGCCACCTGTTGTCGAAGCGGGAAAGTGCGCGCGCTATTGCCACCTGTCGGCCAAAGTGAAAGTTATTACCTTTGGGGCGGCGCCCGGGGCGGAACGGGGCCCACACAGTGCGGGGCTTCGGGGCGAGCGCGTCCCGGGGGCGCCCCTTGGCCCCGTTGTTGTTCAGGTCGACGGCACTGGCGCTGAAGAGCGACTGGAAGCGGTTGAGGGGCCCCATCGTCACTCGCCGCAGGCGACTGGAGACTTTCTCGTTTTGGCCGAGCGCGAAGATGCCCCGATCCGCTTGTGCATCGACTGTGAAGCGCCGACACGTTCGCGAACGCGGCCCCTTTGCGGCGCAGTGGCGCCGTTGCCGACTCACTCACCTTTGCGCGGCTTGGGCGACGTCGTGTCCTTGGGCGTCTTCCTGCCGGCAACAGCGCCGATTGGGGCGTGGTTTGCCCTTGCCCCGCCCTTGGACTCGCCGTCGGCCTGCTGCTTGGCGGCCAGCTCCCTAGGCGTCAGCACCTGCGTCACTGGCGCGCTCTTCTTCGTCGCACCTGCAACATCGACACCGGTTAAGCGCAGGCCCAACTCGACCCGGGTAACACTGTGTTGATTCACTGCGCCAACTCCTAAAAATCTATCGAGTTACCCCTAACCTCAATCGGCGCAAAAAAAAAAAAAGTGAAAACCCCCTATTACCCGAGCGTTTGTGCGCGTGCGCGTGGTACTTTTCCTTGAGCGCGATGCGCCGCATTTTCTCCTTGGAGGGCTGTTGCCCCATTGCACCTGCCCCTCAGTGGTGTTTTGACAGTTGGTTCAGTGACAGCACGGGCTGCGCCTCGCTTGCCAGCTCATGGCTGCGCTAGTTGGGCCGGAACCGGCACAGTGGCAACGCCGCCCCTGCAAGGGGCCACTAAGGCCGGTCCAAAAACAAACGGCGCGCTAAAGTGGTGACCTACAATGGCCGGAAATAGAAATAGTGTTCGGGCGAAGCGGCTAATTGTAGCCCCCTTGGAATGCAACGTTGCCAATATCTAATGTTATGTTAGGTATCGTGTCAAGTGTCAAATCGCAAAAAGGTGGGGTTAGAATTTTATACATTTTATATCATTAGTTATGTCTATTTCCAATGTGTTATTTATACAGGGTCTTCCTGAGAACTTTTTTAATTTGAGGTCTCATTTTTGAGATATTTGATCGGCAAAATGGCGAAAAATATCAGTTTTTGTTGTCCATCTTTAAAACGGTTAAACATTGGGAACTTGTTTTTTCTTAAGGGCACTAATTTGACCGCAAAAAATTTAATCGTTTCGGCTTAATCAAAACTTTCCAGGCCGTTGGATTGCTAGAGGTCAAAAAGCTTCTATAAACTCGCCTCCTGGATCTCCCGATTTAAACGCGCTTGATTTTTACTTCTGGAGCCATTTAAAAAGTACGGTATATTAACCGGAAGTGAATACAATCGAAGCACTTTAGCAAAGAATTTTTAATATTTCTAACAAAATAAGAACTTCAGTGCAAGCTTTACGGTCTGAAAATTTTAATTTCATTAAAAGACTGCTGCTAAGTTAACAGTAAAATGGTTAATTAAATTTAATTTTGCTTGTTTATATCGTTGCGCATATTGTTACCATGTTTTTATTTAAGCAAAATTTATTCAAACTATAATGTATATTATTTTAATATTTTTAAAAAAATTCTTTCAACATTAGAAATCTTGAACTGAGTTTTGGTAGACATTTTAAATCGGAAATAATTTATTTCATCGATATCTTAAAAAACTCGGTAAATATATAATAATGTCTTTCTCATTCTCTCTCTCTCTCTCTTTCTGTAATAACGCCTCAAATCAGCTGAGATCTGGCACCAATGTATTCCAAGGGAGCCGCAATTAGCAGAGTCGGGGCTCTGGGGGGACTGTCCAGTTTGGCAACAGTGGCGCATTTGCCCCGTTATTGACAGGGTCAATGGCATTTATGCCACCGTTGCCATCGCGTTATTTTCCGTCCGCCACTGGAAAAACCGGTACTTAATTGGCCATTAGCGAACCCAGCGTGCGTTCACCGGCATATTTATGCAAATTCGCACCGCGTCAGGTGCTTTTCATTAGCCGAACGGTGTCAACAATGCCCGCAGTGAAACGCCCTGTTGCCGCGTCTTTTACCCGTTTCGGGCTGTCGAAGGGCTGGCCTTGGCAGCAACTGACCACGCCCCTGTTGCCAGCATGGGCGCAAAGTCCGCGTTGGTGCAATGGGCGCAAACCGCCTCCAAAACGTGGATTATTCCCGTGCGGCACTGCGATCCACTCGACTTTAACCGCGCGCGGTCGGCGAAGCGACTGGCGGCGCTCGGCGCACGGCGCTTTCGCTAAACCACTCACCTGGACTGCGACTGGGCGGGGCGGCGGCGGCCCGGGGGCGGCTGGCGGTCGCCCGCTTCGCCACCAGCGGCTTCTTCACCTTGGGCGCCTCGTACACCTTGGCCTTGACCTCCTTGAGGCGGCCCTTCGGGTCGTCGCCCTTGGAGATTTTGCTCATCACCGCGTCCCACTTGTTGACCGGCTTCTTCACGGGGCGCTTCTCGCCCGGCTGCGGCTTGGGCGGCTTCTTGGGCGCTGCGAGGGGCTGCGCCCCCTGCTTGGGCTGCTGGCTGTTGTCGGAGGCGCATTTGCTGCTGTCAGTGGGCGTGGGCGCGTCGCTGGGGGCCTGCGGCGCCCCCGTCTCGCTCTCCTCGTCTGGGCGCGGCCCCGAGTCCATGTCGGTGAACACGCCTGCAAAGGGGGCGGCGTCAGCAGGCCACAGGAGGCGGGGCCCTTACTGTCAGGCAGGCAACCGCATATACAGTGCCTGCCATCCAGCGTAACCGCCGAACAGGGTTGCCAGGTCCAAAAATCGAGTTTCGGTAGATAAGCTCGAGACTTTTTTCTTTCATTATTATAAATTTTTAAACTTGTAAATTGTACTCGTTTTTAGCTTATGGCTCAACTCAGTTTTCATTAGATTAACCCATGATACAATGAATACATGGCAGGCTTGATTCATTTTATGTTTGAAAAAAAACTCTAAAATACGAGGGGTGCTGAAATAAAATGTCTGCCATTACCAACGTACTTTGATCATGAATGGAAATATGCTATATTATTTTAAGTAATCCACGCAAATTTTTTCAATTTTTGTTTGCTACTTTTCGGTAGAAATCTGCATGGTATCGGTAGATCGGTAGATTCCTTGACAAATCGGTAGACCTGGCAACTTTGCCGAGGAAAATAAAGCTGTCTACTTTTACATGTTGAACTTGCAGTCTCTCTCCCTTAATTTCTCTGATTTTATGCCACAAATCAGTATGACGCATGACAGAGACAAATTTGGTTTGGTATTCAGTCTGTTTAAACGTTAAGAATTTATATCTTTCGTAGGTTATGTTTTTCTTCGGGTTGAAGTGGTTATCGAATTTCTGTATTAATATGTCGATTTTTGAAACCTTTGCTCCAAATCCATTTTCCTCCTTTTTCTTTAGGATGCCTTGGATTAATCTGGATTATTTTCTTTACTTCTTTCACTTTTGTCGCAGCGCCATTTTGTATTTGTCGTTTCTGGGGTTAGGGTTGGGAGAGAAACTGCAAGTTCAACATGTCAAAGTGGACTGCTTTATTTTACAAGCGTCTAGGTATTCTTGTCAATTGTCACTTCTTGTCACTTCTATCGATTGCGGCGATTCGAGCCTAGCGGTTTGTAATGATTTAAGACGATTTAAGGTTAGGTGATTTTTATCCGGTATTCTGTTGTAACTGTAAACTCTTTGGATTTTATTAATATAGTGTTGGACTTTGACTGTGTTAACTCAATTAATATTGATAAAATTATTGGACTTATAAAGTTTGACTTAGAAGAACTTAACGATGTGTTTTTAACGTTACTCTATATATTATGTACACCAAATGGGGCGTTTTAATAACAAAAATGTTTTATTGAGCAAATAGATAGTTGGCTTAAGTTATTTTCCTATGTGCAATGTGCAAATTTAATTAAAACAAATTATCAACGATTTTTTAGTTTTAAAGTAACAGAAAAAATTAAATCACTATTGTAAGAGTCAAGAAATATTGAGCAAAAGAATTGCTGGTATCTTCTCTTTCCATTTACTTTTAGTTATCAGGCGTATAAAATATTTTCACAATAATACAACATTTTTTGATGATGATCAGCATGATGCAAAAATGACAAACCGCCTAAATTTTTTACAGAAGTGACAGAAGAACTGACAGAAGTGACAGGACGTGCCGTATGCCTAGACGCTTGCCTGTATATGCGGTTGCCTACGCGACACTTACCACTCGAGTCCATGTTCTCGCGGCTGTTGACGTAGACGTCGGAGGCGGCTTGCGCCGCATAGAGCGTGCCGTCAATCMCCTGCGCCAGCCGGTCGCCCTTCGCCTGCGCATCATCGTGGTTGTCCGCGTCGCTCTCGGTGTAGAAGTCCGAGTCGGTCATGGGGTCGGGGCGGCGCGCCAGCCCCCGGCAGAAGGGGCGGCGCGTGAGCGGCGAGTTGTCAGCGCCCCTGCTGGCCGGCCGCGACATCTCGCCGTCCCCTGCAACGGCGCGCGTCAGTCCCAGCCCCGCCCACTCGCCCCCACTTACCCTGGTAGCCGGTGTCCAGGCTGGTGATGCTCGTTATGCTGGTGATGATGCTGCTCGCCTTGGCCCCGCCCCCCTTGGCCGCCTCCGCCTTGACGAGGGGCGTGGCGTCGAGCGGCAGCTCCTCGGGGGAGGGCGTGTCGTCGCCGCGCGCCCCCAACGGGTCCAGACTCAACTCCAGATTCATGGTTGTGTCCGTTTTAAGCAGGAAGCTGAACTCGGGGTTGGTGGGGCTCTGCCCGGCCCCCTCGAACAGCTTGTCGTAGTCGAGGGCGGAGCACTGCGTGAAGTCGACCATTTGGTCGGGCGTGAGGATGCCCAGCGACTCTTCGCAGTCGAGCGAGTCGCGCTTGCCGCTGTCGCCCTCTAGCGGCAGCGAGGTGGGCTTCTGCGCCGGCTCCATGCTGCTGCTGGCGGTGGTGCGGCGCCGTTTGGCGGCGTCGCCGTCGCCCTCCAGCCCGCAGAGGATCGAGTACGGGCCGGAACCGCTGTGGGGCGCTGCTTCCGTCAGGGACACCTTGGCCAGTGGCGCCATCAGGCCGCGCCGCGGCGCGCACTCAAAGTACCACACGCCATTCACGGTGCCGTTGTTTTTGCCGCAGGCGCTGTTCAGCTCCACCCCGCACCACACGCCCTTGGCAAACTGGACCACGCCCACGTAGCGCAGCACGCCCGCCTTTTCCCCCACCTGCACCGCTCGGCCCACGTGCGACTGCGTGATCGCGTACTGCGCGATCTGCGGAATGCGCGAAATCTGAAACAGAATGAGCGAGATTTACATGGCGAAAGTGTTGGGGCGCCCTCTGTGGACGCGGGAAAAACCCGCGGAGAAGTGATCAAGTGCCGCGCCCCTAGAGCATCAACCTGCGCAAGCAGCGGCTAATTGTAGCCCCCTTGGAATGCATTGTTGCCAGACTTCAGCTGATGTGAGGCGTTATTATAGAAGTTATTTAAGATAACGATAAAATGAATTATTTCCCATTTAAAATGTCTAGTTTAAGAATCAGTTTAAGATTTCTAATGTTGAAAGACTTTCAAAAAAATTAATTAAAATAATGTACATTAGAGTTTGAATAAATTTTGCTTAAATAAAAACATGGTAACAATATGCGCAACGATATAAACAAGTAAAATTAAATTTAATTAACCATTTTACTGTTAATTTAGCAGCAGTCTTTTAATGAAATTAAAATTTTCAGACCGTAAAGTTTGCACTGAAGTTCTTATTTCGTTAGAAATATTAAAAATTCTTTGCTAAAGTTCTTGGATTGTATTCACTTCTGGTGAATATACGGTACTTTTTGAATGGTCCCAGAAGAAAAAATCAAGCGCGATTAAATCGGGAGATCCAGGAGGCGAGTTTATAGAAGCTTTTTGACCTCTAGCAATCCAACGGCCTGGAAAGTTTTGATTAAGCCGAAACGATTTAATTTTTTGCACGCAAACTAGTGCCCTTAAGAAAAAACAATAAGAGATAAAAAATTGATAAATAACTTGTAGTAATTAAAAAAATTATTTATGAACTTCTTTTTGGGCTTTTCGCCTCAAAAATGTTTGTCTTTAAAAAAGACAGAATTTGGATAATTATTGAAGTTTAGAATTTCTTTTACAAATTGTTTTTTTTTGGAAAAAATAGATTGATTAAAAACTATTTTTGCTCTATCATATAGACTTTTTACGATACCTTTTTTAACCATTATCGGGTGATTTGAGTCGAAATTCAAATATCGGTTAGTATGAGTAG